TCGTCCCCATTTTAGTGCTTCCAAACCAAAAGAAACTCTCTTGTGGTTTCTCTTCTCTGTTTTCATCACTTACTATTTTTTGTAATTCAATAGTAACATTTTGCAACCAAAATTAAATATTTACTTATATTTACTCTTTATGAAACTCAACACTAATAGTATTTAGAGGTGTGAGTGATTCATCTTTGAGGTAGTATTTGATTAATGTGGATTCTTCTTTTGTCTTCTTTCAGCAAAAGCATTTTTGAGAAGATGATGAATCATCGTAACAAAAGCATTTACGAATTTTATATTTGTTAGGTTGATTTTTTTTTACAAATAATTAATATTTCAATATATATGTTTAATTTGTAAAGTAAATCAAAAAGGTAAAATGACCTAATGCAAAGTATCTTACGTAACAACCAACATAATCATAGTTTGAATCCATAGAGAAGGAAATTTTTTGGAATTTTCTTAAAAATGTGATAACATTAGTGGTGAGCATATGCCACATCAGTGTCTGGTGTATGCCAAATGGACTTTTATTTTAACTTTTACTAATAGACCTAACGGAAAGGACTAACGTGACACTATTTGAAGACATAATGGACTACATTGCTCCTTTTTAAAATTAAGGGACCAAAATGAACCCTGAGGTATAGTTAAGAAACCAAAAAAGGTATTTTTTTTCATTCCTCTATGATTCTTTCTTTTCATCTTCTAGAGATTTAACATGATTTTTATTTGTCATAATATTTGTTGGCTTAATATCGTTTTTGGACTCATATCTTAACCTCGAGTTTCATTTTGATCCCGTAAATTTAAAAAGATTCATATTGGTCATTTGATTCTTTAAAAAATATCATATTAGTCTTTTGTGTCTAATTAGCGACAAAAAAATTCAAAAATCGGTCACTGTATTCGTTGCTAATTTGACTAAAGGGACTAACATGGTACATTTTGAAGAATTAAATGACCAATATGGAACTTTTTAAGTTAAAAGACTAAAATGAATCTCGAAGTTAAGATATATGACTAAAAAGGGTAATATGGTACTGTAAAAGAGTGGTTATTGGAAAGAGTGTAGTTTAAGGCCCTTTTTCAAACTTTTATAGTGACCGGTTTCTTTTCAAACTTTTACACTAATGCCATACATTTGTTTATTGGAAAGAGTGGTTACATCATCTTTATAATTAGTCATAAGATAGATGTTTACCTTTTAGTATTAGATTAAGTTTTCAAGACCATTCCTAAAATCTTAAATACTTGTTAGATATACATATTTTGAAAGTGTTGTCAAGAATTTTAACACCTAAGAACTATTTCTGAAGATTTACTTCATTTTCATTTGGTATTTCTAATCTTAATCTAGTATGTTCATCATTTCCCTTTTGATCTCAGTAGAGCCTTCATAGATCATTTAAATGGTGTCCCAAACTTCTTTGCAGTGCTATAGTTATAAACATAATTATACTCTTTAATGCTTTATACATTTATTATCAAGTACCTCACTTTAAAACCTTTTTCATTTTTTATTTTTCTTCTATGGTTCACAGTTCTCTCGATTTGTTCACTACTCCATTATTAATAAAATTAGTAGAAAAATGGACCATCTAAAACATAATTTTACAAATCAAGATCAATAGCTTCCAAAAATATTTTCATTCTTGCTTTTCATATGGTTTATCTTTCACCATTAAACGAATGAGTTTTGTTTAAGGAAAGACTCTTATCAAAATAAATGTTTAAAGTCATCATTCTACCTCCTGGTATAATAAGTCTTATATAAGAGTTAGGATCTGATTTCATTTATTGAACAAGTGATTTCAAACACAAGATGGATGAATTATGATATTCAAATTTTAAAATTTTTTTAGAAAAATAATTCATTTTGAAATGGTTATATTAAGAAGATGATATAAGCCGAGATTAAGTAACGAAAAAGATAAATGACAGCAAAAAAGATAAATGAAAGAAATATGAAGAGAATTAGTATGAGAGATCACATCATAGATTATCTTGGTTTGATCTTAAACCACACAACCTACTTTAGTGTCAAAAAATTTTCTCTTGAGATTCCATCAAACAATAACTTGAGATTTTACACAAAATCAACTCACCAACCTTACAAACAACTCGAACTTTTACACGAGTTCAATCCAACAACATCACACCAACATTTTTTTTTACATATTTAACTTGCGACCTTTAAATCTATAACAAGATCACTAGAAAATTAAGCTTTTGAGTAAACAAATTCAACATAACAATAAAACACCACAACTCTCATGTAAAACTTTTCACTCTTTCAACACTAAGACAATTTATTGTGAATAACACTTATAAAAGAAAGGGATGAGTGATATAAAAGAAATGATTATTCAAAAAATTGACATGTTCACTCTTTTGTATATGAATTTTTGTGTGGCTAAAATAGACAATAATTCATGGGTCTTGGCACTTCCTAAAGGAAATTCAATTTAAAAGGAATGGAATACTTTATTGCTAACTTAAACATTCAAACCAATGATTGGTGATTTGACCAACAAAAGAAAAAAAGACCGCAAGATATAGAACGCCAATGTAGGCAGCCTTAAAATTGTCCATTTATTTGACTTGCTTTCTCTTTTACTTAAAACCATACCTTTAGTTAAAAGGTTACATAATTATGTCCTGTTTTATATAATATTTTTTATATAACTTTATAGTGTATAAATAATTTTGGAATGTAATGTTGTTATATTTGATTTGGTTCGGTTTATAAAACACAAATTATAAATTGAATTGAACTGGACGATTTTGTTATAAAGTAGTTAAAATACAATCAAATCAAATGTAATTTTTTATATTTTTTAATTTATTTCAATTTAATTAGTTATTTTCTACTAAATCAATTCAGTTTTGAACACGTCTTTATTTAGAGTTGTCAAAATTGACTAACTCACATGGGTCGGCTCGTTAGGCTCGAAAAATTGTAGAGCTTGAGCCTTAAAATTAGAGCCCATATTTTTAAAGATTTTTTTAGCTCAACTCTAAAAAACTCGCTATTCATTAGGATTAGCCCATATGAATCATGAGTAACTCATTAGATCCACATCGCTATAAATTTTAAATTTTTTTATTAATATGTATATTGTCTTACTTCATAATTACACATTGGTTTTTCTCACCTCATTAAATTTTATCTCTATTCTATTCAATATTTCTCTTTTAAATATATACATTAATATAATAAACACTTTGTTTTCGTATTCTATTAATTTCTCTTATATTAAATAATTGAGTATTATTTTATACAATTTAGACATGTATTGTATTTAAAAACACATTATATTATATTTAAAATAATATAATTTTTAATTTTATTTATATTAAATTTATGACATTTTTATTTTAAAAAAATTCATTTAAAATCAGATAGTCGGAAACCCATCTAAAGACGGACTCGAATAATAATTTTTGAAACCATATTAAAAATGAGTTTTGTTGACTCAGTCCTAAAAGGTTCGAGTCCACCAGAATCGACCCGTTTAAACATATCATATATTTCTACACTCTCATCTCAATACACGATTAAACGTATGTTTAAAATTAAAATCACTCAATTGAGTTTAGGAAGAAAAAAAAAAGGGTCAAAGATAGAAAGTCTAATCACTCAATTGAGTTAAAGAACAAAAGTAAAAAATTTCAACTTGTGAATATTTTGATGTATTGAAGCAATTCTAGAAACATAAAATAAAACTTGAGCTGGTGTCCAGTCTGTTTTCTTGACTATCTAGGCCACTCAACGGGACAACAAAGTCTCCATAAATAAAAGAGGTTAAAATGAAAGTAATTTACGTAATTCAAGAGTAATGGAATTTGGTGTGCAGTCTAACATTTCTTAAACATCACACTGATTACTTGTCTGTCTTATGTTTTAAAATTGATGTTTGACTACTAACAACATGAAAGATTACTCACAGAGAGATTCAAATCAGAGTTTTTCATTTTACTTTATTTTGCACCTTAAATGAATTTGAACTTAAATTTAAATTTTGTAAATTTCATTATCTACATGATTTTTATATTAATGAACAAAAGAAGAAGTCATAAATGTCAAATGCCAATGAAGCATCTGTTTGTCTGTCACCGTCACAGTTAGCAATTGAAAAAAGAAAAATGAAAAGCGAAAAAGCACGCATCACATCACAATCACAAAGAATAAAGAGAAGAAATTTGAAGAAACAGCAAACGAAGTTTCTATTTTGATGCTTCTTTTTTAACTATCTTCAATCACCTACCACTCATGCCTTGTTTATTAATCCCACACCAACTTCATTTCCTTCCTCCCTCCACTTTCCTTCCCTTGCCGTCGCATTCTCTTTTTCTTTCTAAAGTTTCTTTTTTGATTTTCGAAATACATACCCTTTGGAGAGATTGACAAAACCCAGATACCAATTTCTGTTTTGATTATGGAGTTTGGTTTGGTTTGTGCTAATCAGTTCACATCCAAGAGGGTTTTTTTAATGCTTTAGAGATCTAGTTTTAATGTTGGTTTTTCAGAGTTTGAAAAGAGCTTCTGAGAAATCTCTGTGAAGCTGAAGGATTTTGGTTCTTGATAGGTATTATTATTATTAAGACTCTCTTTTTATGTGGTTTTCTTAATCTTAATCTATGTGGCATTGGTGGAAAATCAAAGGATGATTGATCTATGTAGCACTGACACCTCTGATAGTTGATAGTGATTAGTTTAATTTATTTATTTTTCTAGATTATTATCAGGGTTGACATGTCAGCGTTAGTGTCGAGTTTCCGGTGTCCGTGCTTTCGTGGTGATATTTTGTTTTGTTTTGGTGATCATTGGTTTCTTGCTTTGTTATTTTTGGTTTAGGTAATGTGAATTTTTATTGGACTGATCTTTTTTGTTTACAAAATGAATGAAGTTTTGATTTATATCTATTACTATTTGTTTTCAAGTGATGAAGTGATTTTTTATATTTAACTATGATTTTTGTAGATATATTGGCAGCGGTTAAATGGCATCTGATCTGAGTTCGAGTTTGTCGAAGAAAACATCTGTTCTTGGTTTGGAAGTATGGGAGTTAATGGGGTTAATAGTTGGTTTGTTCATTGTAATCATTCTTCTAGTGATATCAATATGTCTTACTTCGAAAAAGAAGTCCAGAAGAATCAACGGCATGCTTCCGGTAACTCATAGGTTATCTGTTTCCGAAGAGATCAAAGAGATTAGCGTTGATCAGGTTTCAACAAATGGTCATCCTCAGAATGGCATGTTTATGAGTCTTTACGACAAGTTTAATGACAAGGAGGCCGAAAAGGTTTTGCTGCAAACAAAGAATGGGGAGTATAGCAGTCAATCAGGCTCGTTTGTTCATGTCGAGAAAGATGTTGCTGGCTCTCAATCGGGTGATGAAAGTGGTGCGAGGCGCCTTTCTGCGCATAGGCCTTCTGTAACTTCACCGTCTCCTTTGTCTGGTCTTCCGGAATTCTCTCACCTTGGTTGGGGGCACTGGTTTACATTGAGAGACCTAGAACTAGCAACAAACAAGTTTTCCAAAGACAATATTATCGGCGAAGGAGGATACGGAGTTGTTTATCAAGGTCAGCTGATCAACGGGAATCCTGTCGCTATTAAAAAGCTTCTAAATAATCTGTGAGTATTGCCGCTATATAATTTTCAGTTGTGAAATCTGTTTTATAATTTCTATAGTTTCGTGTTTTATTAGCATGTTTGCAAGCAGTTAGATTATAATACTATTTATGCTCGTCGTGCAGTGGACAAGCCGAAAAGGAATTTAGAGTGGAAGTTGAGGCGATTGGTCATGTTAGGCACAAGAACTTGGTTAGACTTTTGGGATTTTGCATTGAAGGCACTCACAGGTAACCATACCGTCTTGGTCTATATTTTGCGGGGTTCAATTCAATTAAATATCAGTTTTTCATTTTTCTTCTTCTCTTATATATGAACCAACAATGGAAATTCCATGTTAATTTCAGGTTGTTGGTTTATGAGTATGTTAACAATGGAAACTTAGAACAATGGCTTCATGGAGCCATGCGGCAATATGGTTTCCTCACATGGGAGGCTCGGATTAAAATTCTACTTGGAACAGCTAAAGCGTACGTTCATTTAGTAAACATCCCTGATTTTGTTTTTGTAGAAAGTCCCTTTTTACTTTTCGCGAGTTTCATATTTCCGATCTTACGATTATCTTGCATGCAGGCTGGCTTACTTGCACGAAGCAATTGAGCCAAAAGTTGTCCATCGAGATATTAAGTCAAGTAATATTCTAATCGATGATGAATTCAATGCCAAAATATCCGACTTTGGACTAGCCAAGTTACTCGGCGCTGGAAAAAGTCACATTACAACTCGAGTTATGGGTACTTTTGGGTAAGCTCTCTTCTGTCTATAGATTTAAGACTTGTTTGTTTATGTTTTTCGTTTTAATGATTGTTTTACGTTTTCAGATACGTGGCTCCCGAATATGCCAATTCTGGATTACTAAACGAGAAGAGTGATGTTTATAGCTTTGGTGTACTGCTCCTTGAAGCAATTACTGGAAGAGATCCAGTAGATTATAGCCGTTCACCAGCCGAGGTCTGTCATTATTAATCTGTAAAGAAATTATTTGAGACTTTGATGCACATGTTGAAGATCTCTATTATTTCCGAAGAACTCTATTTCTTATTGTTCGGATTTTTCAGCCTCTCCTAACTATCATTTGGATGATTGTTCTAGGTAAACTTGGTCGATTGGCTCAAGATGATGGTCGGTAATAGGCATGCAGAAGAGGTAGTGGACCCAAACATTGAGACGAGACCGTCAACAAGTGCCCTTAAAAGAGCCCTTTTGACTGCTTTGAGGTGTGTTGATCCAGATTCTGAAAAAAGACCAAGTATGAGTCAAGTTGTCCGCATGCTCGAATCTGAAGAATATCCAATACCTCGAGAGGTTTGACTTCTGATTCACATATATGAAATTCCGAGTTTCCAACATTTTGTAGCAGTTAACTTGCAACTGTAATGTGCTTGAATCTTGATTTTTCTAATCAAATGAAGTGATCGTTTTTTCAGGACCGAAGACGCAGGAAGAGTAATGCCACAAATGCTGACGCGGAGACACATAAGGAAACTTCTGATACTGACAAGAGCGATCATCCAGATTCCAAGTCCGTCGGAAAAAATGGAAGAAGGAATCAACGGAAGTAAAACCAAGAGTCCTAAAAAAGTACCTATTCCAGATTAAGGTACGTTCAAGTGAATGTGCCATTTTTGAATTCTTTCGTGCGAGCTTGTACGAGTTACGATAACCGCCTCATTTTACATCATATTCATGGAGCTGGATCAGAGTTACTCTGTGATATACCTATTTGATTGCTATAACTTGGATCATCATGTAGATTTTAGGAAATAGATCCCTTACACCAGTTTGTACTTTGTACAGTTCATTGCTATATTCATACTTTTCCTCTTGTATTTCTATTTGTTTCATCACTCATTAGGATTGTAAAGTAATTGATGTTTCCTTGTGTAAGATGATAAGAAAATTATATCAAGTGTGAAGGAGGACACAAAATATGTGCCTTATTATTGTCTATAATTGTTGCAATGAAAAATTTCTTGATTATTACAGTATCACAACGAGTTCTGTTCCTGTTTTCTTGATTATTAAAAAAATTCAATCGATCAGTGGTCTAAAGCTATTTTGAGAACTGATTCAGCAAAAGCTGTAATTCATGATTCATTAGTCTTACAAATTAAGCACTTATTGGTACAAGTTTATTTGTTTTATCTAACAGTAAATTTAAAGATGTTTCAAATTTCAAATAGTAAATTAAAAGACAATGATATCAAGAATGAAAAATCAGCATGTCTCTAAGATAAATTTCATTAAATTAAGAAGAATTTTAATTTTAAAATGCCAATAGACACGTCTTGTTCACGGAACACATTCAAGAATTCAAGAGTTAGCACCGAGATAAATGATTTTTCGCAGATGATATAGTCCTATTTAGAGAGTCGAAAGAGAATTTAAATGAATGGCTGGAGACTTGGAGATGAGATTTAGAAACACATGATTTCTACCTAACTAAGAGTAAGACATAATATATGGAACGTAAGTTCAACAAAAGAAGCGTTCCTAATTTAGAGGTGGAAGTTGGAGACTATATTATCCCTCAAGTTACACCGTTTAAATATATAGGATCTGTAATGCAAAATGATGGAGAAATAGAAGGAGATGTAAATCATCGAATCCAAACAAAGGGAATGAAATAGAGGAGGACTTCAGGGGTTTTATGTGACGCAAATGTATCACTAAAGCTAAAAGGAAATATTTATCGGATTGCGGTAAACCTGCGATGTTGTATGAGATAAAATGTTTGATAGTTAAGAATCAACATGAAAATAAAATAAACGTAGAAGAGATGAGGATGTTGCGTTGAATGTGTGGTAAAAGTAAAAATGAAAATATTAGAGAGAGTGTTGTGGTAACACCTATAGTAGAGAAGAGAGTGGAAAATAGACTTAAGAGAAGTTATAAAAAAAAGATATCGAGATTAACGATTTGAATAAAAGCATGATCATTGATAGAATATTATGACAAAAGTTGATTCATGTAACCTACTACACTATGACAAAACTTAGTTGTGTTGTTGATAAGAGTTACTTGTGTTGCAGACACATCTTGTTTGGTAGTATATAAATATAATATATTCACTTGTACATGGGTTGCGACAAAAACATGAATTGCAACATCAACATTCAAAACCAGAAACTCTTAACTATGAAGTATGAATCACTATTTTTTAGCAATGCTGTCCTGAGATACAAATGTTAGGTGAAATAAATACTACACACAATACTTTCACACTAAGTACAAAAGTCAATTGTCATTAACATAATCTCTTTGTTTTTTTGTTTTCGTTTTAACTCGTCACACGATCGAAGAAGTGATCGGTTTGGTTTGTGAATTTACACGTTGCGAGGTTCCCTTGATTGAGAAGAACGAGTATTATTCATTAGAGGCTGTAAAGCTTTGACGATGATGCTCATATTTGGTCGAAACTCAGCTTCATATTGAACACACAGTGCAGCAACAGCAGCCATCTTTGCAACTGCTTTGGAAGGGTACTCTCCCTTTAGTCTAACATCAACACACTGCTTCACCTTATCTTCACTAAGCCTTGGTGCTGCCTGATAAAATCGAACGAACAAAGAATCACATTGTGTAAAATCCAATCACTGTCAGTCGGTAACCATTAACAGAAAGAGAGAAAAAATTATAGCATACCCATGTCACAAGGCTTTGCTGTCCTCGTGGCAGTGTATGATCAACAGGTTTACGCCCTGTTAAGAGTTCCAACAGTATGACTCCAAAACTGTAAACATCACTCTTTGAAGAAAGGTTTCCAGTCATTGCATATCTGTCATACAAAAAATCAAGTCAATGTTAGTCCTTAAAAACCAACTTGGAGTCAAATTTTTATACTCATTGAGAAAAAAAGTCAAATTAGTTAGGCATCCAGAAATAGCTTACTCAGGAGCATGATAGCCAAAGGTTCCAAGAACACGGGTAGAATGAAGACGCGCTGCTGCATCAGGAGCTTGATTTGACAGATCAAAATCTGCAATCTTTGCAACGTCGTCCTCAAATAGCAGTATGTTACTAGATTTAATGTACCGATGGACAATATGAACTTCTGCCTTTTCATGAAGATATTCAAGTCCTCTGGCTGCTCCGACGGCGATTTTAACTCTTTGAGCCCATGACAGAACTTGACCAGGTTCTGCACCTTTTACACCTTTGCGCCCTATATCCAAAATCATGATAAAATTATATAAACATACCCATATGAATTTGTATAACATAACATACATAAAATGAAGAGTGATATGGTGTTAGGAATGACTAACCGTGTAGAATGTCATGAAGGGATCCATTTGGAGCATACTCATAAGCAAGGGCACGGAAAGGGCCGTCAACACAGTAAGTAAGAAGCTCGACAACATTTTCTTGCTTTAGCCTTGAAACGATGGAGACCTGCGTAGTGAATGGAAATATAAGACGATGTTTCGATGATTATCTTATCAGAAAAATTTTAACTGTCATTGAACCAAACCTGAGAAAGAAACTCTTGGTCTGGCTGTTTACTAGAGTCCAACTTTTTAATTGCAACTTCTCGTCCCGTTTTCAATGTGGCGCGATATACTTTCCCATACGCACCTTCCCCAAGGAAAGACTTCGAACCAAAACTATCTGTCACAGACTTCAATTCATCTATTGTAATGGAAGGGACAGAAATAGGTTGGAGATTTATAGGCCGAGGAACGGTTACTGCTGTGTGTCTTCCATGATAACTAGAGTTTCCTGCATTGTACGAAAGCGGAATCAAAACGAAACACAATCGTAGTGCTAACACAAGTACAACTATACACAATCAAGACTTGCAATTTCGGAACATCTCAATTTGAACAAAAAGCAAGTTCAAAATTGTTCAGTACAAGAATTTGTAATATTACATATAAAAAAACTACGAATACCGTGTTTCCAAAAACAACGGCTAATAGATAGTGGATTATTACCAGTAGCGTTGTTTTGCATGAAGTTTCCTCTGTCAGCAGTAGTATAAGAATCATTCTCTTTGCAGAAGCCAAAGCAACCCATGATCCTATATTCTGAAGGTAAGTTTCAATATAATCTGTGTTAAATCACACACAAAAACAATAGGACTTGTTACATAAGGTATTAAGAACATAAAACCCTAGTTAGATATAGAAAGTATACATAATTTTTACTACAAAAAATATATCCAGAAACAAAGTAAAAAAAAAGACCAAAGATTAGAAGCAAGCACTATAAGATTTGGATGAAACCAAAGTGAAGTAACAGAAAGAGTAAAAAGAAAGAGATAAGAATAGTTACTATGGCAATACACGTTGATGAAAAGAAAGGAGACAAAAGAAGAAGTTTCCTGGTTAGGAAAAGATGAGAAACAAACCTGTTAGAAATTGCAGAGTTTTGTGGACCACAGAAATGGATGATGAAGTTATATGAGAGAGTTAAGCGCAGAGAGATTAAAAGAATAGATGAATTTATTTGTGAAATGAATGAGAAACTACCTTGACTTTGCCGGGTGAGAAGAGAAGAAGAATATAATAAAAAAAGTGCGTACGCAAAGCAAGAGGGCCTTAAAAGACATCACCAAACGTTGGTTTTTTTCATATATTATTGGAAAGTCAGTCAAAGTCAATAATCATTCAAAACCCCGTTTCCATCTTGGCGGATGATGTTTTTCTTTGAGTTTTTCATTTCTACCAACAAAATTTTCTTCTATAGGACACCATAAGTTAAAGGAGTAGAATTATTAAAGCTTAATAGTCTTTGTCGTCCCAAATCTTTTAGTCTGGATTTATTTTAATCCCTTAATTTTAAAAACGATTATTTTGGTCTCTCAATTATTCAAACATCGTGTCTGTTCCTGTCGTCAAAGACGCTAGTTAAAATCAAATTAAATGCATAGATATTAGGCGATTCTTCCTGTCGTCAAAGACGCTAGTCAAAATCAAATTAAATGCATAGATATTAGGCGATTCTGTCATTTGGTAAAACATAAATTGTAAAAACCTCACACAAAGTATTCACCTCACAAAGTATATGAAGAACACAATTGCGATGCTTGCGATGAACGATGGAAATGATGAAGAACAAAGACAAGTATTTTCCGAAACAAAAAAAGAAAGACAAATATTCTGGTAAAGTACTCTTTTCTTTGATTTAAGGTTATTTTTGTTTTTCATTTTTCGTTCATTTATAATATAGGGTTTTTCTAGGTTTTCATTTGTGGACATTTTTGTCTTAGATTTTTTGAGTGTTGATGTGTAGTGTTTAACATATTATATTCGTTTTAGGAGTTTCTCATGGATTTAGGTTTTTTTTTGTTGGTTTTAATTCCAAATATTTTATTTTTAGGTAAAATATGGATGAATTGATCATGTAATTATTCACCATGGAGGTTTATTTGTAGGTTATGAGTTATCTAGTTATGAGGAAATAGTTTCAGAGGTGAGAAGTGATGTTTACTTTAAGTGATAACGCAAGTGCCTAAGTGTTGGATTATCCGGTCCTACAACCGAATTAAGTGCAACAAAGAATTTAGTAGGTCCTACAACTAGGCTCACTCCATCTCAAACAAGTAAGAAGAAAAAATAGATTTTTATGTTTTATATTTTATGTCTCTTTTGGAACATCGTTATGGTGTAAGTTAAGCGTAACATTATGATGTTTTAGGTCTCATTTGGTACTCTTTTTTGGAACCATTATAGGTGTATTATTATGATGTATTAGGTTATGATACAGCTGCGGACCCGGGAGGTGGAGTTAGCAACTTGCAGCCCACTATTCCTAATATTGATAGGCACATTCGTACTAAAAAGCTTCCTTCAAAATATCAAGATCACATACTTTATTAAATGAGTATTTGTTTTATTCCTAGTTATTTCTATTTCTTGTTTCTGCTTGTTTCTAAAAGGCTATGACTCAGCCAAAGTTTGTTAGTAGTGCCTTGTTGTGATGTACGTTTGTTAGTAGTGCGCTGTTGTGATATCTCTCTTTAGATTCTGCTATTCAAAACTATATAAGATGTATTTGCTCATTGAGCTAGGGGAATGAAAATCATTGCAGAAAATTATCTCTCTTCCTCTCTATTCACTGCTTTAGGAGGTTTGGCTCAACCCTTAAAACTGAGCACTATCACCTGGTGCTTTCATTGTGTTGAATTCCTCCTCCATCCATGACTTCCCGTCCTCCCCCACCTAATCCTGTAGCTGATCTCGCTCGTCAAGTTGCCATTCTCACCGCCCAACTTGAAGCTATGCACAAACGTTTTGACGATACATCATCTTCTGGTGCATCCCGTTCCAGTCCAAATTCACAGCACCGCCCTCGTCTCAAATTAGACGTTCCTCGTTTCGACGGAACAGATACACATGGTTGGATCTTCAAGATCTCACAATTCTTTACTTATCACCAGACACCTGATGAGGAACGCATCACCATTGCTTCCTTTTATCTCGACGGTCCGGCCTTGGCATGGTACCAGTGGATGTATCGGAATCGTCAGATTGCATCGTGGGCCCAATTTTTGGAGAAATTAGAAATTCGTTTCGCTCCAACTGCGTTTGACGATCCTCGCGGTAACCTTTTTAAGCTTACCCAATCTTCTTCTGTGACGACGTATCTCATTGAATTTGAAGCTCTCGCAAATCGCCTCGAAGGTTTATCTGAAGCTGATCTTCTCAGTTGTTTCATTTCTGGGTTAAAGATCGATGTTCGTCGTGAGGTCTTGGTTCAACAACCATCTCGCAGGTTGTTGGTCTTGCTCGTTTACAAGAGGATAAGTTGAAAGACATTGCGCTTTCTTCGCGTCCTCGATCGTCGTTGCCACCATGGAAATCTGCTTTAGGGCCTCGTCCTTCACCCAAGCCCTATTCCGATTCCTCTTCCATGGTGAAACCCTCCCAAGGCCTTCTTCCTACGCCACCAGCAAAGCCCCGTTTTCGACATCTCTCCGGGCCAGAACTCGATGAACGACGTCAGAAGGGTTTGTGCTTCAATTGTGATCAACCATGGTCCAAACAACACAAATGTGGTGGTCGTGTGTTTTTAATGGTTGCTACTGATGAGGATTTTTCTTTTACGCCCGATGAATTAGAGTCAGCGGCGGCAGAATTGATTGACTGCGTTGTTGCATCGGAGGAACTCTCTGCTCATGTAACACAGTTAAGTTTACATGCTCTTTCTGGGGACCAAGCTGCTGACATATTTCACATCTTGGGTTGAATCTCCTCTAACCCGGTTGGTGTTTTGGTGGATGGGGGCAGTACCCATAATTTTGTCAAGGATACTATTGCTTCTGCTTTGGGCCTCCCCTTGGACCCAATTGATCCATTCAGAGTTTTAGTTGGCAATGGACAAGAATTAGTGTGATCTCATATTTGTCATGAGGTGTCAATAGTTTTACAAGGCCATTCATTCACTATGGATCTCTTTGTCTTAGGCTTACGTGGTGCGGATGTTGTGTTAGGGGCCCAATGGTTGTGAGGGTTAGGCCCAGTTTTAATGAATTATAATCTCCTTACTATGACTTTTTTCCATAACAATTCAAGTGTTGAGTTGAAGGGAGATTCACCAACTTGTCCTATAGGCTTTCACCAATTCCAACGGATCACTAGAATAGACCCTGAGGCCCAATTATTTTCCCTCCATGTCATCGGTACACATGACACCCAATCTAATTTTTCTTCCCAACCAGATACACTAAACCTTAACCCTGAGTTCACCTCCCTCCTCACCAAATACTCCCACCTTTTCTTTGAACCCTCCACACTCCTTCCCACTTAGACCAACTAACCACAAAATTCCCCTCCTACCCCAATTCACACCGGTCAATGTTCGACCTTACCGATACCCCTACTCACAGAAACTTGAGATAGAATCTCAAGTAGCCAAATTATTGCAAACTGGGTGGATACGACCTAGCACAAGTCCTTTTTCTTCCCCTGTTCTTCTCCTAAAAAAAGGATGGATCCTGGCATATGTGCGTAGACTGCCGCGCTTTGAATGCTATTATTGTCCCTGATCGGTTCCCCTTGCCTACCATCGATGAATTATTGGACGAATTAGGAAAGGCTAGGGTGTTTTCAAAACTAGATCTAACTTCTGGCTTTCATCAGGTATGATTATCCCCTGCAGACATTTCGAAAACAGCTTTTCGCACACATGATGGGCACTACGAATATTGTGTTATGTCGTTTGGCTTATGCAACGCTCCGACAACTTTTCAAGCTACTATGAATGATATTTTTCGTGATCTACTTCGCAAGTCCGTTATTGTTTTCTTCGATGATATCCTGGTTTTCAGCACCACTTTGGACACCCACCTTGGTCATTTGTCACAGGTATTTGATATCTTAGATAAACATCAGTTTCATTTAAAACCAACGAAATGTTCTTTTTCCCAAAGTCATATTGCTTATTTGGGTCATATTGTGGCTGAGGGGGCCGTGGCACCCGACCCTTTGAAGTTACAAGGAGTAGTTGATTGGCCAACTCCTAAATCCGTGAAGAGCTTGCGTGGTTTTCTGGGTCTGTCTTGGTTTTATCGGAGATTTGTTCATGGTTATGCTACTTTGGCTCATCCTTTAACTTGCTTATTAAAAAAGAATGCTTTTGAGTGGTCCACCTTGGCTCAACAAGCTTTTGACAAGTTGAAGGTTGCTTTAGCTACTGCACCAGTTCTTGCCTTGCCGGATTTTTCTCTGTCGTTCATTGTGAAGACTAATGCCTCGGGCATGCTATGGGCGTTGTTTTATTGCAAAATGATCATCCTATTGCGTATTTCAGCAAGCTATTTTGTCCTCGTATTTCCCAGGCTTCCACTTACATACGTGAGCTTCATGCCATCACTTGCGCTATGAAGCGTTGGCGTCAATACTTACTGGGAAATTATTTTTTTATTCAAACTGACCATCGTAGCTTGAAGGAATTGCTGACTCAAGTGATTCAAACTCCGGAGCAACAATTTTATTTGTCTAAATTATTGGGTTACCATTATGATATTCAATACAAGCTTGGAAAGACCAATACGGTGGCTGATGCATTGTCTC